TTCCGAACAGAAACATTTTTTGTTAATAACAGCATAAATTTGTCGTGTTCAAATGTTTAAGTAAAAGATAGAATATAACGTTATCTGGAAAGAATGCCAGTAATCTTGAAATCTCACAAGTGTCTGTATACGCAACAAAACGGTGTCCACAAACAAGAAGTCTTCGTCGAAACAAAGACTGGTTCATCTGAATCGTTTCATTGAATAACCAGCATTTCTAAATATGATCGTATGGAAATATTAAAATAGTGCATCCTGTACACCATGTTTGTATACATATAACTTTCTCTATAACGTGTCCGTGCTTGCTTGTGCATTTAACTTATATACCTAGTAATAATAACCAATTTTATCGGTGCTTGTCCATAGCTAAAAGTTAATAATTCTTATCAAACAATAATATTAATAGCAATAATTGTAACGGTGATAATAAAAATAATATTATTTGCTGCATTAATAGTAGTGCGAGTAATGGTAAATTGATAATGATAATAGTAATAATTAATAATTGGTAAATAACTATAATACACATTCCCAGAGAACCTGTACATATACCGAGTCTGCTATGCAGTATAATTCGTGTTCTTTCTCTTTCTCTCTGTCGAAGGCACTATCTAATGAACTCTACGAGTCTCCTGCGCTCGTAGTGAACTGTTATAAACTCTGTGATAAATATACATTTTCTTTTTCTTTCTTTTTTCTTCTTCTTTTTAACATTTTACTAATATGCTTCGCTACGCACCATTGGAATCAAATCTGTTTGGCTTACAAAAATTACAAAAAAAAAAAAAAAAAAAGAAAAGAAAATCGTGACTACGAAACTCTGCACTTTCGTTAAGGGTCCAGCTGATATTTCTTTCCTTCGACGGTATTTTTGAATCCGTTTAAGGAATTGGAAGAACGTTACTGCTTTTTATTTTATCGTACAAGTGAATGCCACATGTAAGCTGGTATACGTGCATATTTGCTTTGTTAAGATTGTGGGTAGAGACGAATATACGCATCCTTCTAAGAACGTGATCTTTCAGTAAACGAAGACTGTGACTATCCAGAGTTTTACGCAGGTGTAAAGAGGGACTGTGAAAAGTGCAAAGATTTACAGTATCTGTGAAGAAGATAAAACATATTCGTAACCAACGTTTTACATATTGCCTGAAGAAATTTGATTTAAAAAAAGGGAACGAACAAAAAAAAAAGAAATAAAAATAAAATAAAATGAAACAAAAATTGAAAATCCCGTACGTTAAAGCCTCAACGCACTTTTAAAGCTATCATCACGGTACGATCTTAAAAGAAGGAAAACATATTTGTATAACATCATTTTTGTCAGTCCCATTGCTCGTATTGCTTTACGTTACTCTGTATCTCCGCTAAACAATTAATGTAAGATTCTTTCATTTTTCTTGCACAATTTTCATACGTTTCTTGCCCGTGATACGTATATATATCAAACTATCCTTACAAAAAAAGAAAAAAAGAAAAACTATCGATAAAGGCACGAGAAAGCTCGTTAGTTTTTTTTTATAAGAATAATTTTCTCCTTTGTTCGCCGATGTCGTTAAATTTTGTTTCTCAAAAGATAACGAGAAAAAAAAATTGGAATTAATGCAGACTACGCCCGCGTAAAATACTGCGACCATTTAAAAACTCTTCTGTTACGCGGGGGGAGGGAGGTTTGCGGGGGCCCGACGAATTTTCGACGTTGCGAGACAATGGTTTTGAATACATTGTACGCATGCGCGAACATAAAACGCTTACGAAACGATATCGAGTCCTGTTCTAGTGAAATTTGAAAAAAATGTTCATCGACTCGCGAGTCAAACTTCACTTCAGGCGCGTATTAAAACGTAACGAAGTGAGGAAGAACAGCTGAGCGTCGATCGGCCGCAAGCATTGCGCGCTATTGCACGGTTCAAGGATCATATAATACTAATGTACACAGAGCGGCATATCGCTCGAGTAGTCACGTTCGAGGACATACTTCCCTTATAGGGACCGTGGACACAACGATTCATCGTACCGTAAATTGTAAAACCACGATTGACACGAATGTTTACAGCTCGTTCTGTATTTGGAGTACAATTATCCATACCACCATAGATCAAAGTTGGGTAGTGATTATTCTGTGATTATTTTTGTAATAATCACTTGTAATCGTCAGATTTGTGTATTTGTAATCTACGATAAGAAATCAGTACTGTGTGATTTTTCAAAGCTAATCGTGTCTGATTATTCGTCATAATTACTTGCTAGTCGGTAACAGTTTGCTCAACACAGCTACAGATGCACGAACGCCGTTAGGTGCCCCTCCTCAACACGCGATACGTAAAGTAGACGCGTAGAAAATTATTATTCCGTCGATAGACATGAATTTTGATTTATCCTGCGCTTGACACTAACCAAGTCATCGACACTTTCAATTAATTTCATTAATGTGGTTATTAACAATTTCATAAAGCATTAGATATTTTCATATCTGATTTAACTGTGTATGTACTTTCAATTTATTAATATTAAGGTAAACGCACCCATTTTTTACGCTGATCAACACTTTCAATTAATTTCATTAATATAATTATTAACAATTTCAGAATTTACATTTAAAATAAAGTACTTAGTAAAGTCGATCTCAATACAACACGTGTCCCAAAACGTGTGCATTATGGACAAGTAAAAATTGTTATTTTTATTATTATGATGTTATTAAATCAATTTAATCACCGGATTTGTATAACAATTGCTGCACTAAAAATGTATACGTTAATCAAACTAAGACACGTATAATGTTTGAACAAGACTCTAAAAATAAGATAAAGACGAGAAAGATTAAGATAAGAAAGATGCGTCCATAACTGGAACATCTACTTTAATTACACTTCCTGTCTAACCAACACATTAGTTGTGGGGAAAAGAGATCGTCTCTGACAGAAACTATTAATCATATTGGATTAGATGTTTTAGTCAGCCATATTTTCCTTATCTATGGTATCACATCATTTTTAATCTAAAACTAATTTTCCTTGCTTCTTCCTGCATGCATATGGCATTTGTTTTAGGAATCATATCGAGAATTTAGATATATAACTTAAACGTTTAGGGATATTACTTCAATTACCCCAAAGCTGAGGTTGTCAAGTATCGAGAGAGTGTTTATTTACCAATAGCGTTCGTGCATTAATATAGTACGAATAAGTTCGCCCCAAAGATTGGGTAAAATAACTCGTTACGTCTACGATCCCTGTTTTCCTCGCGATCACTCGACGTCACCCACTCAGCAGTGTTTGCATCCGATCCGTCGCATTGGTCTCCTCCACCAGCCATAAAGTCTTGGTTCACGCGTCTCCGCTCATCTCCTTGAGCTGCATATCCGTCGGGTTCCACGAAACGACTAAATCGATTAAGACGAATCGATCATCGCGGGGGTGAGATGGGCCATGCGATTGGTCCGCGCGACACACAGGATTGAACACTCGGAACAGGGGTAGATTGTTTCGTTTCCGCGTATCTCCATGAGACGCCACGTTTCGCGGACAACTGGGACCAGAGATGGGAACAAAATTATACAAATAAAAGATACCGATAAATATGGATAAACTTTTATCGCGAAACAAAAATGTATGTCCTCACTCCTGAAGAGATGAAGAATTTTGATGTAGATGTGAATATTATTGGTCTTTTGGAGCACGAGTTTCGAGCAAGAGTTCAGTTACTAAATTTCTCAAAGTTTCAGCCACATGCTGATCCTCACCAAGAGGTGAAACTAAAACTATTATATTCAAGAAGATACAGGAATAATCATGGTACCTTAATGAAATTGAGAAGTACAATTTTCTCATATGTAAGCAGATATTATCGAGAAATGTATTAAATAGACTTTTGCTAGTAATTCGTACTCTACAAAGCCAATAATATTCACACGTACAGCAAGAAACCTCTATCTGTTTAACTTAGAATATAGTTTCTCTTTATATTGTAATTTAGATTACTAGATGTACAAGCAAAGGGTAAAAAACTAGCTTATCCATGAATCGAAATTTGTATCCAGACAAGTATCTAGCCCATCTCTGATCGGGACTAGGGTACGGCGCGGATTGGACTCTCCCTATGCGCGGCCTCGCCTGAACACGGACACGATCCTCGACGCTGACGAGTGCTTCAACGCCGCCCTAGCGATCGAGGTCCTCGCGTGCCTCTGGACGCCGCTGCTGGCGACTGTTTCCGCTCGACCTTGGTTGTCGTCCGCTGCCGTGGTCGTTCTTCGTGCTGGACCGATCGCCGCCCCACCTCGCCCTCGCACCGCCCGCTAAGGCGAGAGAAAAAAGCCAAAAGGCACGACGCAGTCCTTAGGCATGAAGCAGTCGTGCACGGTCTTCATGTGGTTCTTCATCTTATCGGGCCTGGAGAACTCCTTGCCGCAGACGGGGCACGGGAATACCTTTCTCTGGTGGCCCTCGTGGTAGAGGAAAGCGTGCCGCTGGAAACTGTACTTGTTCTTGAACGTCTTCTGTATGTCGAGTTTCGCGCATTCGGTGCACTGATAGACGCCCTCGGAAATCGAGGCGTAGCGAAAGAGATTTAATCCGCGCACGGACATCTCGGTCAGCTGCTCGGCTGGATCCTGCGAGTGGGAGGTGGCGCGACGTCTCATGCGTCTTTTGGGCACCTGACGACCCGGTGGGGCGGACATCGTGCCAACCTGATGACCGCTGGTCGACGAAGAGTTCGTCGTAGGGGCAGGGCTGCTGCCGCTGCTGCTGCCGCCGCTATTCTGCGCGTTATTCCTACCAGTAGCTGGTGACGCGGATGAACTTCTCGTCGGCGCGGTTGTATTCGACGCCGCGGTGGACGTAGAGCTCGTCGTTGTGGTCGATGATGCTGCCCCGGTTGATCGCGCGCTAGATGATTCCGTGCTCCCTTGATTCCCCGACAAGCTTGATCCAGGATTCCGTGTCTTCTCTTTCCACGTCTCTCCTTCCCCTTTCGCGTACTCTGTGGAAAAACTTTAGTCAGTAAAAGTTGGCCAGCTTTAACGAACATGTAGATGCTACGATGTTACGACAACAAATATGATATAATCAGTTATAAAAATTTGCCGACTGTTTTCTTTCTACGATAAAGGCTCTGTGCATTGCATGCGACTGCTAGCTAATTACAATTGATGGATGAATATTATGTACGTATGTGTTTATACAGGGTCAAACATGTAATTTGTACAATTCTATTATTTTTGTTGCTTTGGAGAATAAATGAAAATTTTATCGTTGATTACATGATTCAGGTCTCTGAAACATAAGCTCAACACCTCCGATAAAAGTAAAATTGATGGGTGCAGTGAGCTGAGAGTAAGAGAGCTGGACAAGTTACATGGTTCTCCTAGTATATTGGTACTATTTAATGTACGTTCATACTGCATACTTTAACACGTGCAAACAGAAGTTGAGCCAGCATGACTCGTTGTAAAACAAAGCAGTTACAGTAATTCTTGATTGTATGTCGCTAACTTTTTCCTATATTAACTGAACAGATTCGTGCCATTCGTAAGATTTCCCTGAAGACAATGGAAAATATAAGAATGAAAATTGTCGTCGGTGAACAACAAGCGAGAATTACTGTAAACAGAAATGGTTTTTGATACAACCGAAATCAAATCTTAATAAATCCTGTAAATAAGAATTCAACGTAAAACATAAATTGCCGTCTACTTGATAGGAGGTCGGGGATGATTGACGGACGAGTGGATATAAGATGTGAACGAAAATAAAAAGAGTGACGTTGATAAAACAAATTTTTTTTTTTTTTTTTAAGTTGCGCGACAAAATGTGCTGTTCTTACGTTTCGTGTAGTAAACTAGTAGGATCGTACCACAAGTCTATCTACAAGAAGAAGGCACATGTAAATTCCAAGGAATTCCAAGGACTTCGTCGATTCCGCACTGAAAATTCGTAGCGAACCTTTCGTCTATTAACTTAAGTAGAAGGACAGGATAAAGAACAAAAACAAAAACAAAAAATAAAAATAAAGAGAAATCAAGTGACCACGCAGCAGCTGAGGAGGAACGGATCCGATGTGGTCTCCAAGTTTACGCCATGGGTAATTTTGGTACACGCTGCGAGACGCATTGGGAAGCTTTCCAAGTTGACTTCGTAGAAAAGATAAATGTTTATGGCAATCGTGTACCAAATCTGTTTGTGCAACTTTGTCGCACTGTCTGCGAAATACTATCGTTAAAAATAAAAAAAAACACACATAAAAATCTGTACCAAGTTTCATAGCCGGGCTTGTAAAAATCAAAAAGTTGAATGCAACGAACAAACCATGTACATATATATATTTATCTTTTTGTTGCTCTCCAAATGTTTCACTTTCCTTCATTGTCCGGACAGTAAAAATAATAAATCAACAATACGCGTACGCAACATGCAAAACAAAAGTCCATAAAAAATAATAATCGCTTACATCCCGTCGCGACTGGCAAACGCGAGCGTTTCCACGTTTCCATTCTCGCGCGCAAAACATTATTAAATCACAACGCAGAAATTGCAATTTATCCGATTTTCAGGTCGCCACGTAGGTACGTGTTATGCTCGTGCCAGTCGCGGCTAGGTAATCTTAATATCTAAGAATCGTCTAGTTGGCACCGTCGATCGCTTTCCCGTTGGTCACGGTGGTGTACTTTTACAAGTAAATCGAGTAACGTTCGCTAATGAGAGTCGTTTAAATAATTACTCGCACCGTGCACATCGGAGGAAAAGCGTCGCCGTCATCGTCGCCGTCGTCGTCGTCGTCGTCGTCGTCGACGCGACGATTGCTAAGCGGCCAAGAAGACGCATCATCCACAATCGAATGATCTAAAACGAAACTAAATAAAAGTAATTTTTGGCTAAGTGTAACGGTGCTTCGTGGTGAGTCCGGGATATTATCGAATTTGGCGTGTTTCTCATGTAACGTGTCTCGTGGACCTATCGTGGGATACACAGAGGGTGGCGTGCGATATTTTCGTTTTTTGTCTTGTGGGAGGAAAAAAAAAAGTAATTAAAACGACTAAATCGAGAAATCGCTACGGGGGAGACACGGGTGTGGAACGTAATGCGAGATTAACGAATTTCTTCCAGAGAAGATGAAAGAACGAGAGGCAATCGCTATTCGATAGCTGCACAGAACTTCCGTGGCAGTTGGATCATCTCTGACGAATCCTTCGATTCGAAGTTAACGTCGTTTATGGCACTTGGATGGTGCGATTCGTCGATTTTTCGAATGTTCGATGTGTCCTCGAGAGTCATTCGTGGACGGTAGATTTGCGTGGGAACAATTCAACGAACAGTCGCATAAAGTCTTCAACGAATTGACACTCACGTTCCACATACGTGCGGACAATGTGACGCATAATAACGGAAACGACAAGAAACGCAACGAAAAGGATGTAAAATAAAAGTTCTACTGCAAGTTCTACCGCGCTTGTTGTAACAACCCTTTTCAAGAATTTTGATTGGTTAGAGACACTTTTCTCGTCTAATTGTAAGACCGTCCTCTTTTACCTCAGCTCTTATACTATCGCTGCAAGTTTTAACATTCCTGTGTGACGTGGTTAAGGTTGTCAAATGTCTTTTTTTAGAAAGGTCGTAATGGGCGAATTCAATATGATAGATAAACATATTTTCTTGCGAACAAATTAGTAATATTGAGCAGTTTGGTAACTAGACTGCAGTATGATTTATATATATGTATCGTTATTAGACTATATTAAATAGACTAACTGCCAAATTGCACTACGCGATTCACAGATTGATTGCATGGTTAACAGAAACATCATGACTACCAATTAACTCTTCGTATCTTTCAAACGAGTAACTCTACAGCCCCGACCATTCAAAATTCATGAAAAGAACTATTGACGTTTATGGTAATTACCTTCGATTCAATGCGATTAGTCTGCTACTTTCCTCGATAAGTGTGTATACATTCTGAGGACGATTCCAGGCCACTAACATATCACATTTTCGTTACAACGCACGAAGCGCCATTTTTTTCTTTTTCTTTTCAACTTTTCAGCAACAACGTCGCTGACATCTAGGCGATTGCGTTCACCCATTCGCGCTTCTCCACCACTTTTTTTCGCATTCTTTCACGTGTTTCTTCTTTCTCTTTTCTGCGTCGTTGTACCGACGCCAATAAAAGCTCAGAGCACGAAATACGATCGTTTAAAAGGAAAATAAAAATAAAAGATAATCGGTATAGAGGAAACCGTTGAAACGTTGCAACAAAAAAGTGGTAAATGTTTGAGAAATTAAAGTAACAGATGGAATTTACTAGAATGTTATTGCAGTTAATGGATGAAGCTTCGTACAAGAAACTCGCTCGGTTTTCTTCGCGCAATCGTTACATCGCAAGGAAAAAAACAATCTGACAAAATTTCGCGTCGCGAACAATGAACGACGCTGATTCTCGAAAACGGACAAACGTCGAGCTTTCGTCATTCTCGTTCATCGTCACGACGTTTCGATGCGTTGTTTTGTACGTTGGGTGTGTAAACACGAACGACTTTTCGAGATTCGACGTCGTCGATTGTCATGGCCGTATCGAGCCGTGCAAATACAGAGTCAAAGTTTCATTTTTGTTGATTCGTTCTGTTTGTCATAGATTCGTTTACTGCAGAGATGGGCCAAATTTTGTTAAATAATTTAAGAATGTATTTATTTAAATACTTCAAATTTGTTCTTAGTTTTCTTTATTAGTTATTCGAAATCTTGAATCTGAATAAGATTTTCGCCCGTCTCTGAGTTTACAAGACCGCTGCGCGACGAATCTCGCAAAGCGAACGCGCACAAAACGAAGACGTGAATGCGTGTGTGAGACAAGTCGGTACAGCGAGACTTAAAAATCCTTCAATTATAATCTATTGAACACCGTTCTTTTTATTATCGATAGTCATAATCAAACAATCAGTGCATATAAAATATACTAAGTCTACCCAGCGTCAGAAAAGACTCGTCTTCTCTAAAAAGTTCCCTATAAAATTTCACCTTATTATTTTTTTTTTTTTCGTCTTTACACTCATTTTTTCGACAAGGTCTCACTTATTTGGCACTAGATTACGATCGTCGGGCGCGTCTTTTTAAAAAAAGGGATATACACACGCGCGCCTGCGATCGTGTAATCATAACAATTTACTTATTACTTCTTCTTCGTCATCTTTCTTTCTTTCCCTCTCTTTTTTTTTTTTCATTTTTCATCGTCATTATTTATGTCGCTTAAAAAGGCACCAAATCGGGGATTACACCGCTACATGTTATTGGATCCCACTGAAGTACGTTAATTCAACGTATATATATAAAGTTAAAAGTCAACCACGTATTCTTCATTTCTTTCATATTTTTTTTTTAACTCTCATTTTCTGACGCATCATTTCAAAAACTGCAACGACGTTAATAGGTATTATCAACTAGCGCTAAAATATATTCGATATAACTTTTGTTTATATATATATATAATATATAATAATGATAATAATAATTGTAATAATATTAATAATAATCGCAATAATAATAATAATAATAATAATAATAATAATCATCATCATCATCGCAATAATAATATTAATATATACGTACATATACATACAGATGTGTGTGTATATATGTATATATACATACATGTACCATCTTTTACACCAGTTCGCGTATTTTTGTATATGTGTCTCTCTCTGTAGGTGTTTGTGTACAATATGCGTGTAATTTATTTGCGATAATAAACTATGATTCTTTTCTTTTTTTTAATATATATATATATATATATTTATATTTCATATATATATATTAAAATCTATCCGATAGTACAGTCTGCTTTTTAAGCCTCGTAATTTACCTCTCTCTGTTCCTCTTTCGCGGTGGTCTCTTGCAACAGCGGCCGATGCCGATTAACACGTGAAAAACTTAGTATAATCGGTATTGACTGGTGGTCCCGCCCGTAAGGGGACGAATAAAAAGACGAGAATCGCTTGGACGTCGCCCTTGCAAGAGTCACACATAAATATAATATATTCTATTTAAAATTTTCTTGTTTTTTGTTTTGTTTCGTATTCATTCACCGTATCCACCCGCAATGTCCGTAGACTTATAAATTAATTAAAATATGTTCAACGCGAAACTCATCGACGAGACCTCCAGCGAACCTACCCTCGATTATCGTGAGAAATTCGCTTGCGTTTGGAACATAATTTATTCAAAGAAACGAAAAATAAAATGTCAGAAAGAATGACAGTTGCAGATCCGTCGAAAGGTTGACTTTGTTAATTTTTTACTCCTCGATAATACGATCGTTTTTAAAATCAATTTCTCCTCGACAACGCCAGAAAATACACGTGACACGTAATGCAAAACCCAAGCCGTGCACTCCTTACAAATAATTCCTTATAACATTTCAACTTATTTTTTTTTTTCCTCGCTATGAACACTTTTTACAATTTGAACACTAATTTTGTACGAGTAACAAGGATTATCATCCTTCGTCCACAATAAACACCACCACGAGACCACTACTAAAGTTTTCTTTTCTTACTGATTGGCAACATGAATTTTCCTTTTTACAACCTTAATTCTAAACATCAACAACATTTAAAGGCAACGAACGTGAGCGAATGTTGTACGATAAATTTTCGTAGCAAGCTTCAAAAGACCAACTGCTAAATTTCAACAATTTGTTTAGGTATCAGTTTACCCTGATCACGAGCCTTAAGATACCAGTAAGGAATTCGATGTAAGTAAACGGCGTCAACCTAACTCGCATACGTATCATCGTAAGTAACATTCTTTCTTTTGCGTTTATCTTATGCCAAATACTCTGCAACTGTCTTCGTAACTTCAACGGTTCGTTAAAGTTTGTTATGCCCTTCTACAACGACTAATAAGACGTTTAACGGACTTTATACAGGGTGTTCGGTAAATGGCGGTATAAGCGAAAAGGGAATGATTGTACATGAAAAATGAAGTAGAAAATATAGAATAAACATTTTTCATGTGAGGTTTCGTTTTCGAGAAACTCAACTTTGAAGTTTCGCCGGGTACGGTTGCACTTGATCATGTCTCGATGGTTATTATCGCAGTCTAAGTTTGTTTTTATCGTAACGGAAAATTAGGAACATGTAATGAAATAGAATGTCGAAATAGTCATAAAGTTTATTACTACAGAAATTGCTGAAAATGTTGCCCATTCCAGTATTCGATTGTTTTAGACAATAAGAGTAAGATAATAGGTAAGAGAACATTTCCAGGCGATTAGAAGTGTTTATCAACATAACTTCAATCGAGACAATGATCCTCAATGAGATCCGTTATAACGGAACATGATCAAGTACACCCGTACTCGGCAAAAATCTAAGGTCGATAAAGCCTCGCATGAAAAATTGTTATTCTATACTTTCGACTTCTCTTTTCATGTAGAATCGCCCTCTTTTCGCTTGTACCATCAGTTACGGAACACTCTGTATATATTTGTATATATATATATATATTATGCAATTAATAAAATTTAAAAAAGGCAAACATGCTGTCAACAAATATCGGAAACAAGAGTTTCTTATCTCTCGAGCGATTTCTCACGTAAAAGTCGACTAGGGTAAACTAACACTCGTTTTCTTTTATTATTTTTTCTTTTAACGGACGAATAAAATTGGATTTCCCCAAACGAGCTACTACGGAAGGCCTCTGATCAGAAACAGGACGTTGGAAACTATCTGTCTCTGGCCTATGATAAAAACTGATCACGAACCAAGTATCGAAAGAATTCAACGGGATATCTTTTTCAAATTGGCAAATTCATGGTTTTCTGTTTGTTTGTTTGTTTGTTTATATTCTTTTTTCTCTTTAGGCGATCCGAGAGCTCTATATTTCTGCTGTACTTTCCATTCGATATCAACACGCGTTTACTTTCCTCTAGAAATCTTTCCTTCTTGCCTGCCATTTAAAATTGAGTTAGTCTTAGCCTCTCAGTGATTATCAAACGTGAGTGTATTTACTTTAATTATTATTTTGTTTCATCTTTACTTTAAATCGATACATAAGCTGTTTAGCCGCTGCCTCTTTGCACTTTTTTTTTTTTATATTTATATATCAACTATATTCAGTTTACACCCTCTCTTACTCATCATGTTTCCACTTTGGACGGGCTTTTGCTTTAACCCATCATCTTGAACACAACGATTTCACCAAGACCGGTCTGTGACTACCACCTCTCTAATTTCCATTTATTTTTATTTCGCTTAGAAAACATCTGTTTCGCCCCACCGAAAATAATCCGCCCGTCGAACGGGCCGGACAACACCTCTTTGGTCCATGAAGGTTCTTAATTTTGAAAATAATTGACCTGAGAGTAATATATTGATCAGCGAGTCAGCGGCACGGTCCACCACGATCAGAAACACCTAAAAAAAAGATCCTTATAACTTTAGTATCCTCCCTCATCCTATCTGGTTTATTTTTTATTATTTTGTTTCACCTACTCTTCTATCTTTGCTGCCTGCCTAACTAATTGAATATACCCCTCTATCTGCCTAAAAGTACGCGTAATTGCGTTCGGAGACACGCGATTTCTCGACGGCTCCTACTCCCTTACAACTAAAATTTTTTATCTTTGCAACGCTAGATATCTCTTGAATAACGAACGAACAACACTGGTCAAATCGTGGGCGATTGGACAGGACCGTACAAATCGTGGTCGCGTCCTATCTCTCTCTTTCTCTCTCTCGCTCTCACTCGCTCTCGCTCTCACTCGCTCTCACTCGCTCTCGTTCTCTCTCTCTCTCTCTTATTTTTTATTTAATCCCACGTATTAAAATAACAACGAAGGTCTCCGTTACGATAATAATTAATTAATAATAGCAATAATAATATTTATAATTATTATTATATAGCCTCTAGTCGTCTAATGTCTATGCCCAACTAATGAAAAAATTTGTATATAAATCGTCTCGCTTCCTCTCGCGATTCATGCAAGCCGTTCATAATCTAACGAACGGTCTATGAACGAACGTGTTTCGACTAGAGAGGATTCGACAAAGTGAAAAGTGCAAAATATAGTAAGCTACGATCGTATTTTAGTGCTGTCTCTCACGACTAAGCCTATATACCATCACTGTAGCCGTATCCCTTTTGAACAGTTATTGATTCACTAGACATTTCTTGCTTCTCTCGCGTCGCTTTAGAGAACGAATTTCTTTGTACCAGATTCAAGCAGAAATCTGCGACAAGCAAGACAAGGATAAACTTTTAACAATAACAATTTCTACGACCCTGGATATGCACATCCTTGTCTTACGCTATTCAGCACTTACTATTTACAAAACAAAACCAGAGATGGGCAAAATTCTCATCTAGATACAGATTACGAATAACGAATTAAAACGAGATAAATAGCCTTTTATCCATTAATGATTGGATAAGAACCAGAACTTGAAGTATACGGTAAAATTATTTATCGTATTGCTTTTATCTTCGATAGATATGAATTCTTAATAACGAATAGAAAGATAAATAAATGTTGTATTCGGTAGTAATTTAATAAAAATTAGATACTAAATTGTTAACTAAAATTATATCTCAATATCGAACAAATAAAGGAGATAGATAACCTTTTATAAAGAGCTTGTGCGAATAACTTGCACGAATAAACATTGCGAATAAACCATAACACGGTGTTTCCATTTATCTATTATTCGATAACAGAATTTTGTCCATCACTGACAAGAACACATAGAAAGCTATGATGTATCGATTAGTACTGGTTACGAGTTCGCGTACCAAATTTAATATTGACTCCCAAAAATTGTATTTTCCTCCCGGAATAATGCCTGATTTATACCCACCGTTCGATAATGATTTTTCGTGGGTAACGATAAAAATTAACAGTATGTATAATATATATATAAATATAGTATACACGCAGTAAAACTACATCTAGCTTTACCGAGCAAGCGTGGCACGCTTTTGTTCAATCGAGTACGGTACAGTACGATACGGCGTTAAGTTACTACTAAAGTGCCTTCAGTCTATCCAATGTCAGTACTATCTTGTATTTGGTGTCGTTAAAACCGTCCCTCTGCAGTCTTTCAAGAATTGCATGTCCCGTTCCGTTAATTTTCCCATTAACCCTCCTATTCCTTCCTCCCCCGCCCCTAACCGCGGACTCCATTTCTACCTTGGCTCCCTATTACGCTACTATATAACTTCGAATCAGGCTCAACAGCTTGACAACAGCTCAACGGCTCAACAACATGGCGAACGGTCATCGTACATATATATTGCATTTACTCAGTCTACGTGGTTCCCTTACTTATATCGTGTGTATATTGTGTGTGAATGTGTGTGTATGTGTGTGCATGCACTGCATTGTTTTCCATTTCCTTCTTTTATTCGTTTAATAACGTATGCATCATGAATGCCCACATGCGACACGTTTGATTCTCTCCGTAATATAACAGTCACAGAATAGTAAATGTATTCTTTGTTGATTTGGACTCACGTTTCTTCTGCGATTACATTAAATTCTATTTAATAAACTGATCCCCGTACGTCGCAGAACTACGTTGAGACGATTAAACGAGAACACCGGTTCAATCATATATAAACTCTTTGTATGCACATATTTTGCCTCTTTAATCTTCATTTTTCTTTTTTGTTTGTTTGTTTGTTTGTTTGTTTGTTTGTATATATCCGCGACTTCCCCGAACGGGAAGGCACACGGTAAAGCTCGTTTCGTTTTTTGTAACTTAATGCCCGTTGTGTGTTACGCGCGTAAATCGTT